CAAAAGGATGAGAGTGAGTTGCCTAAGGAACACAGGGAATAATCACCAGAGGAAGGCCCTTTGATTATTTCCATTCTACCATGGTCTGGGTTCAAATTCTGGCTTCCACACTGTGTGATCTTGGGAAAGTCATTTCAACTCTTTAGGCCTCAGCTTCTACATCTGTAAAATGGGCAAGTTAGATTCAGGGAATGACCTCTATGGTCCCTGCCAGTTTTAAATATTTCATCCTAAAAATTAGCCTTGTGATCTTGGGCAATAGTAGCAAGAGTTCACACGTACACAGCGCTTACGTTTACAGAGTGATTTCTTCATAACAACACTGGAAGGTGTGCAGAACAAATGTTATTAGTTCCATTTTACAGAAGAGAAAATCGAGGCTCATAGGAATGAAGTTATTTCAGTAAGAAGCAAAGTGATTGAGCGAAAAGAGTCTTGCATTTAGAGTCTGAAGCCCTGAGTATGAGTGCCAGCTCTCCGGCCATTTAATAGCTGTGTGATCACGAGTGAGTTCACCGAAACTCTCTGAGCACCAGTTTCCTTATTCATGAAATTAAGAAAATAATGCTTATACTACCTACATCAGAATGTTGTTCTGGTGAATGCTGCTTTGTAAAGCTTAAATAAACATGATTATTGTTTTTTATTTGGCCTAGATCACACAGACCAAGATTCAGAACCAAACGCCCTTGCCCAGCCCTAAGAATGGATGATTCGAAGAATCCCACAACACACACTGAAGGACCAGTAAAGACAAAGGACAGCAGAAAAGGGACAGTTGCCATGGTTTTGCTTTAAAAACCAAATCTCAGGGGATAAAGGGAGGTCAAGTCAAACAAAGGGAAACTAGCTATTGGTGAGAAATAAAAGACAGGGAACAATCCCAGTCCAGGAGAGCTGAGAGGAAACAAATCTTCCTCTCTACAGAGAGTGGAGGAGCATGAATGTGGAAGGCAGGGCATACAATCAAATGCTCTTCCTGTTGATTTAGCTCAGATGCTTTTCTTTCTTATAAGGAAGAGCTCAACTGGGGATGAGGGGGAAACTTTATCTTTAAACAAAAAAAAAAAGTGAGATGACAAGTCATCTGCGTAACCAAACTAATATCTCCAAGGCTACCTGATGCACCAGAGAGAGAGAGAGAGAGAGCGAGCACTACCTTGGCACGCAGAGCAGGGGTGTGCTGGTGCCAGCTTGTAGCCAATTGTTAAATGTTCAGGGTTAACATTAGCACCTTTGAAATCAGCAGATTACACAAATCAGGCTTGATTTATATTTTGGTGATTGTCTAGATTTAAGAAAGCGATGGAGAAAATGTTAATAATAACGTAGATTAAATTTAAAGTTGTGTCACATGCACATTTTTCTTGGAGAGCTGGTTGTTAAACATTTACCAGCACACTCTGATTAGAAGGAACTAGGTTCACATCCTGGCCCTGCCACTTACTACCTGTGTGACCTCTAGCAAGTCACTTAACCTTCCCAGGCCTCAGTTTCTTCCTCTGTAAAATAAAGAGCTTGGACTAGATGGCCTGAGTTCTCTTCCAGCTCTAGACCTATAATCCCATGGTCCTAAGTCTCTCTGGGCCTCAGTCTTCTCCATAAAATCAAGAGGCTGGGCCAGATTCTCTCCAAAGTCTCTTCCATCTCTAAATCTGTGATCAGCGACTTTTTATTTCCTACTAGAGAACAAGTAAAAAGGACTTATAAGGTCTTTATAAAGGACTCCATTTCCATGCACCAGCAGGAAAAGGAAAACAAAGGTTTGAACAATCTGATGATGTCCCTTCAATAAAGGGACAAACCCACAAATCCTCTTTATTGTCCTTTTAGGTTCAACATCAGCAGTCTTTTGTGTGAGCCTGAGACATCCTGGACCATTACAGAAAGAAGAGAAAGCCATTGTAAGGGAGCAGGCAGATGTGAGGGAAATCAGCTGACTCTTCCATAGATGGCCTTTGTACTCAAGTTTTCACGTCTCCCCTGGCAAACCAAGTAGGAGCTCTTACTGGGCTATTAAGTAGCATTTACTTAGTCTGATCCTTTGCTTGTCCTGAAATCACAGGCAAATGTTAAGAAATAACCAGAGGAGTGGTCAGTGAGCGGGAGTCAATGCAACAGCATTTCTGAAAATGGCTATTGTTTGTTCTTTGTTGTTGAAGAGGACCATGACATCAGGGAGGTGATGCCAGGACATGCAAGTGAATTGGATTTAAGTGAGGGAGGGCTATGCAAGGTCACCAGCCTCACTTTCTCCTCTGGAGCCACCTGGGTCCAGTGGAGAGATATAGATCAGGACGAGTGCAGATGGCCCTGGATGCAGTGAGGGTCCTCGGACTTTTTAAGCTAAGGTCTTTAACAGGTCTCTGATTGAGGCAGCTCCCATTCGGTGATTAAGGCAAGGTAAGAAATGAGGCAGAGAATGACTTCTTTACTTAGTCAAAAAAAAAATCGATCTGGGAGGGGAAGATCCTCAGGGTCACACAGCTAGTAAGTGAAAATAGCAAACTTGATCACTGAGAGGAAAACCACTTCTGTGTGTGTGTGTGTGTGTGTGTGTGTGTGTGTGTGTGTAGAAGGAAAAGGAGGGAAGAGGGACAGAGAGAAGGACAGAGAAAGAAGAGAAAGGGAGGGGAAGAGGAAGAGAAAGAGAGACAAGAGGGACAGAAAGAAAAAAGAGGGAAGGAGGAAGGAGAGAGAGGAGGGAGGGAGGGACAGGAAGAAGAAGAGAAAGACAAAGAAAAAAGAGGGAAAGAGGAAGGAGAGAGAGGAAGGGAAGAGAGAAAAGAGGGAGGGAATGAAGGAGGAAAAGAAAGAGAAGAACAAAGACAGATGAACAGAAGAGAAACCAAATTCATCCTTCCTGAAGCTTATACAGGTTTATCTACTGTCATTACTCAATTGCAAGTCAAGCCATCCTAATTGCCCCAGCTCTGCCAACATCTGACTGAGTGACCAGCCTGTCAAACAGGTAATGGCCCCAAACACAGTGGATGATTGAGCTTAGAAGCAAGAGTGTGATAAGCAGGAGTCTAATGAATAATTTTGCTAGGTTTCAATTAATATCACTTTGGTATTTTAGGAGGGCAACCACCAACAGTTCAATAAATGTATTAGTTACTCAGTTGAGAAGAGCCCCAACCGGAGCTGCTGACTACAAAGTAGTCAGGTATGATGTAGACACCTAAGGATAACATGCTTTTTCCCATCTCCATGCCAGCAATTTAAATGCCATTACGGGACTGGTTTTAATCACACAGGGATCCTATACATTTCCTAATTTAATAATGGAACTCCTTGACAACAGATTATTAAATAATTTTGGTTAGTTTGCTTCAGGAATGGTACAGGAAATCTGTTACTTTGGTTTACAGACAGGATCACACTTCTTCAGCTGAAAGGGACCTCAGAGACCATTCAGTCTAAGCCTCTCACTTTACAGAGGAGGAAACTGAGAGCCAGTGAGGTGAAATAATTTGCTTGACAACACATGTAGTAAGCATTAGAGGCAGGATTTGAACCTGGATCCTACGTCTAGGGTTAGATTGCTAGAGTCACTCACCTGACAACAGCTAGCAACTACTGTGATAAGTAGACTGTACTAGGCAGGAAGAGATGTGACCCAGGCTGGCCCCTCACAGAGATTACAGTCTAGAAAAAGAATAATCTACAAAGAGATCACTAAAATACAAAATAATGCATAATAGATGTGTTAGAAAGGTATAAAACAAGGTGCTCTGTGACGTCCTAGGGTCATAGTTGTTTTGTCTTTCTTTTGGCAGTGAGCACGAAAACCATGATAAGTATTATTTGTATAGGGAGGCAGTGGCAAGAACACTGAGTTTGGAGGTAGAAGGCTAGGGATTCAAATCTGGGCACTACCACTCGCCCTCTGTGGGACTTTGGATAAATCACTTAACCCCTTTAGACCTTTGCCTGTTTCTTCTTAATAAAATGAGAGGTTCAGATAAAATGGCCTCCAAGGTCCCTTTCAGCTTTAAATCTATGGTTCCATGATAATATCATTAAGGATTTGTGATTTTGTCAAGGTGAAAAGTTCCCTCATAGGAGGGGGCTCCTCTCCCCCAAAGCACACCAAAAACAGTCAGGGATTTACTGCCTAAGTCACCAAAGTGAAGTGATCTGCCCAGGATCCCACAGGATTTGAAATTCCCAAGCCTGGTTCTTTGTCCCCTTTACCGTACTGCCTGAGCCCTAGACTAGAAATGAAGTTTTCTATAAATCATTAGAAGAGAGTGAGTCTGGGTGCTTAGGGGAGCTTTTTCCTAGCAGACTCCAAGAGAACCCCGATGGCCCAAAGGAGATCAGTGGTCTAAACTATAACCAGAGTGTCACTTTTAGGCACTGCAGTAAATCTGACCCAAATATCATTCCTAGATGAAGGAAATTGACATTCCTTTCATAGAACCCTGAGGCAAAGTTGAACCTACACTGAGTGAACCAACACGTCACTGTGAGAGTCAACTTCTCAATTTGAAATTACTACCACTACTACCACCACCACCAATAACAACAACTACTACTACTATACTACTACCACCACCACCACCACCACCACCAATAACAACAACAACAACTACTACTACTACTACTACTACTACTACTATTACTACTATACTACTACTGCTACTACCACTACCACCACTACCCAACTGGATGACCTTGTACAAATCACTTCACCTCTATGGCCCCTCAGCTACAGAATTCAGGGGTTGGACTACATGACCTCTAAGGTCCTTTCTGGCTCTCAAAGACACGATTCTGTGACTGCCTGGAGCCCTCACTCAGGCTCTGGGCCTTTTTTCTTCTGATCTCCCCTTCCCCCAAGAGCCTGTATGCAATTAAGAGCCAAGAGGAAAGGGCAGAGAGATATTAGTTTTATTTATAGACTAGGATCATCTCTCCTCCTCTTCTTCCTTCTGTCCTCCCCTAATCTCCACCTGCTCAACCTCAGCCTTGATGGACAGAGAGGCACTTACTGCAGGCCCCACAGGTGAAGCAGCTGTCGTGGTAGAGGTTTCCCATTGCTTGGCAGGCTTGATTGGCTCCAAAGACGCCCTTATTGCATTTCACACATGCTCCTGGAAGGGAAAAAGGAAATAAGACACTGTCAGGGAGGGAAATCAAATTGAAGCAGAGTTACAAGACAAGCATGGTCTGACTCTCTTCATCCTTACTGGGCCAACTATTACCAAGTCCAGTTGACTCTTTCTCTGCATCCACTCCCTGCACATTCCCTTCACAGTCACCATGGTCTAGTCCAAATGATCACTACCTGATACCTAGATTATTGCAACAGACTAACTTGTCTTGCTCCCCACCCCTCCCTGCGACCTGGCCAAACTGTTCTTCTCTCTGTTCCTCATAGACAATACACGTTTCCCACCTCCGTGCCTTTGTACTGGCTGACCCTCATGTCAGCAATGCTCCTTACCTCTGCCTCACAGAGTCCGCCTCTTCCTTTACGATGCAACTCAGGCACCATCTTCTACCTGAAGTTTTACCTGATTCCCTCTGCCTGCTAATGCCCTCCATTCAAACCAGCTTGAATTTAATTACTTTGTATAGATTTTTAAATTAGCTATAAATAAATATATATGTACAATCAATCTTCAACATTTGAGCATTTAACTTTCACAACTTCAAGCATTCGTGGGATTTATTAGTAACCTCATTTTCACTTTTGAGTTGGTGACCACACATATTCATGGCTATGTGCAGTAGAGGGGAAAAAAAAAAAGGCAGATGCACAAGTTTATATCCACAAAAAGGGGGAAAGTATTCTTAAAAGTGCTTGTGAATTCACTCTGGGAAGTGCTAAAGTAACTTCTCAAGAGAGTGAGGGAATTGAAAAAAAGGGGAAAGTGGCTAAGTTTGTGGGTAAATGAAATGGTAGTCACCTGAGGCTGAGGGAGGTTCCTACCTTCCTCAGTGCCCATGCTGCTACGCTCCCCAAGAATTCCGGCCTGGGTCACTATGTCCTGCCCCCACTGGCCATGCAGGGGAGCTTGGACAGGGGCCTAGGGATTGATCCCAAGGCACGTGCTTTTCATCAGGGAACAGTTCAACTACTGAGCCAAAAGGGAGGTTAGAGGTGGCAGTTGTCACCCCTTTCCCTATCGGCCTCTGCCCCTCCCCGTCCTGTCTGAGGTTGCCTTTCCTCTCCTCTGTCAGTCCCCTTCATAGTTACTGTGTTAGGAAAACTGCATGTTATCAGAATTAATGTTGGGTTATAAAAAATTATATGCAGAAACGTGCATTTTCAGCAATTTCTAACAGAAGATTATAGTTCTTCGTGGTCAAAGGACCTCTCTCCGCCATTTCCCATAGGTTCAATGTATCAACATTCACTTTTTTGACTTTCATGCCATTTTCTACGAACGTTATACTCATGAAAGTCGTATATGTGTTGTATATGTATTTTTCTCCCCATTAGTATATAAACTCCTTGAGAGCAAGGACTATTTTGTTCTTCGTACTTCTAGCTTCAGCACTGAGAACAGCATCTGGCTCATAGTAGGCACTTAATAATACATACTTTTTGATTGAGTCCAACTCACCACCAGTGTTGTAGACTGTGTCTTTAAGATTAATTAGAAAGGATATATATTAGAGCATACCTTCCTGGGGGATATGAGAATACATCATGATACAGAGTAACTGGAGACATCTTTCCATTTCTTAGTGTTTATCTACAGAGGAAGATAATTCTCCTTGACCTAATGCCGACTGTTTGAACATGTGGGTGCCGAGAGCTCCCAGGCATTTAATGAAGGATTTCCTAGAACTGTATTTCTTCTGGAAATGTCATGGCCCCATCATCTTGTTACTTTAAAATTTACTGAGCTCCAAAACACAATGTTGATGAAGCTGAATGCTCTATCCTCTTCATCCCATAGATTGAAAGCTTGGCTACCTCAGTCATTGAATTGGTTTCCCAGGAGGGGTTTGGGAGATGAGATGAATGGAAGTATATAGATTGGGGGGGTGTTTACTGAGTGACTACTAGGTGCACTGCTGGCTTTATAATGGGTGAAAGATACTCCTATTCTGTACATGTAGAACAAAATTCCATGAAGCTGGTAGAAGGAAGCATGTTACCCTGAATCTACTTTCCTCAAGCTGGAGCAGATAGGGTGCTCCCCATTGCTGTGGTATGGATCAAAGGTACTGTGGTTCCTCTTTGCCTTGAGAATTATGGCATTCAAAGACATCTACAATCAATCAAGGAAATGAGCCAAACCAGAAGAACAGCAATATTGTATAAAGATCAACTGTGAATGACTTAGCTACTCTCAGCAATGCAAGACAACTCCAAAGGACTTATGATGAAAAATGATGTCCATCTCCAGAGAAAGAACTGATGGAGTCCGAATATAGATTGAAGCATACTTTTTAAACTTTCTTTATTTTTTCCCCTTTTTTTGGTCTGTTTTCTTTCACAACATGACTAACATTGAAATATGATTTACTGCACGTGTATAACTATATTACATTGCTTGCCTTCTCAGTGAGAGGGGGAAGGGAGGGAGAGAGAGAGCATTTGGAACTAAAAATTTTTTTAATGACTGTTTAAAATTGTTTACATGTAATTGGGGAAAAAATAAAATATTTTTAGAAAATAAAAAAATACAATCAATTGACAAGCATTTCTCAAGAACCAATTACATGTTAGCCACTGTGTTCAGCACTGGGGATACAAAAACAAATATGACACAATTCCTGTCCTTAGGGTGCTTACATTCTATTGGGGGGGGGAAACAATGTGTACACATAAGTATATACAAAGTATATAAAAGCTCACATATGAGAGGTAGTGTGGAATTAAGGGTAGAGAGCTAGCCTTGGAACCAGGAAGACCTTGGTTCAAATCCCACCTCTGACACATACTGACTGTGTGACCATAGGCGACCTCTCTAGTGCATAAGGAAATTCTCCGAGACTATATTATTACAAAGAAAATATCATTCAAAGAAAGTGTCAATCTGTACTGGGAGAGGGAGTTTCCTCATCCTGGACTTCCTAGTATCAATCAAATCAGGGATCTGGTCTCTATCTCCATACAAAGTAGACTGATGATTTTAGTGAGGAGACAATAAGAGCTGGGAGGTGGAGGGTGGTAGCAGATCAGGAAAGGCTTTCTCTGTACGAAGGCATGCTTAAGCTAAGCTTTGAGGGAAGGTAGGGATTCCAACCTTGTTCAACATACCTTGCCTGCTGAATTTCACCATCTTCCCCTTTACACATCCTCCACTGTAACAAAAATAAACATCTAGCTGGTTGCCCAACTGAACACTCCATCTCTCCCTTACACACATCCACATGAGCCATGCTCCTGTGCTTGGAACTCCTTCCCTCTTCATTTCTGCCTTGCTGAATCTCTTATCTTCCTTCAAGGCTTGGCTCCTAAGCTTCAAGGCTTCCTCCCTTTAAGTCTTCCCATCCCCCTTGCTGAAAATGTTTGTTTCCTCCTCAGAATCCCCAGAGTTCTTTGTCTGCTCTCTCCTTTGCCCCATCCTTCTCTAGCTGATGTTACTCTTATCCCCCCACACACATCACATCCCATGAAGTAGAATATAAGCCACCTGAGGAGACTATTTCCTTTTTCATATTCACATCCCCGACACTTAGGACAATTCCTTGTATACAGAAGGCACTTAATGAATGTTTGCTGAATTGAAATGAGTTCTTTACACTATTCCTGAGCCAAAGAAATACACTCATTTGGGATTTCATGTTTTACTTTAGTATTAGAACAGCCAGGGATGCAAAGCCATTAGAGAATCTTTAGAAATAAACTTTTTAAAGGAATAGAGACATTTTATTGATAGATCTTCTTTTGAGGGCCAGCTTTATGCCTCTGGAAATGCACAGTGCTAACAAGTGGCATCCTTAATGCTGTTAGCCCTGGGAGCATGGGAGTGTGAGGGAATAGGGCATGTTCTAATATGTTACCAAGATAGCAGAAGGTGATCTCAACATAAAGGTGTTTTAAGGTTAATATGAGAGAACGTGTGGCACAGGGCTAGAGAGAAGCCCTCTGAGTCAGAAGGACATGGGTTCAAGTCTTGTCTCTGACATATCCTAGGTGAGTTACCTTGGGTAAGTCCCTTAGCTTTTCAGTTGCCACAGGCAACATTCTAAGAGTGTAAAGTTGGAGATCAGGTGCTGTTTTATGATCTGTGAGATAGAAGAACTAGTGCCCCCAACTCAGTCCTGAACCCCCTCCCCAGAGACACTTCTGTCCTATCTTCCTTAGTCACTCTTTGTCCTGGAGGATGATGATGGTAACTCTGTTTGTAGCTACTAAAATACAGAAAAGACATAATACAGAAAAGACATAAAATTGGAAGAAGAAATTAATGACGAGAGCTAGTTTCTTACTATATCCACCCATTCACCTCCATACACACTCTAACACTATTACTCCCACTATTCAACTATGTAATTCCAAGCTTAATCATTATAGAAATATATTTTACAAATAGGTGAGCAACTGAAGCCAGTCATTTGTCACATGAACAGAGAGTCACTCTTTCCACAAACCCAGATGAGGGACGGTCTTCTTAGATAAACTAATTGACCAAAATAACACAGGGAAGGGATCCAAACACTGAGATAAAAAATGTCAGTCAGCAGCCACTCCTGCCTTATGCTGAGATTGTTCACCAAAAGAGGCATATAAATAAATAATATGAGTCAATTCCACCAGTGTGAAATTGAAATCTGGACTTGCTTTGCTCAAGTTAGTGGGAACAAAATGATATTAAACTCTTCCACCAAAAACACATGGACGTTCCACTGCTATGGACATCTCAGTTTTCGAATAACTTTTCCTTTTGACCCCTATGGTAAGGAGATTTAGGGCTGGAAGGGACACTGGTGAGATCAGTCCAACCCTCTCAATTTGTCAGTAAAGAAACTGAGGCCAACAAATGGGAAAAGGACCCACATGTACAAAAATATTCATAGCAGCTCCCTTTGTGGTAGCAAAGAATTGGAAATTGAGAGGATGCCCATCCATTGGGGAATGGATGAGCAAGTTGTGGTATATGAATGTAATGGAATACTATTGTGCTAT